TTTCGGCAAAACGATTGTTTCCTATTTATGGGGAAAAAATAGAAAAAACATCAATAAATACTAAACTTAAAGAGGTGAGAGTTACTGTGGTGGATTAGTTCGCCAACGGAATTGTTTGGTTACTCATACGCCATGCACGGCCGCCGGGGCAATTTAATGCTCGATTGCACGCCGCATGCATATGACAATGACAACTATACGAGATGAGAACAGGAATGCAGACAATGCGTTGAGCAAAAAATTCTAAACAATTAAAAAACATTTAAAGGAAGGGAAAGTAAGTTCTGTGTAAAACTTGGAAGTTTCATAAAAGAAGAAATATCTTAAGTATATAATTGTTATTGTTGTTTGCTTGTCGTCTGCTCTAAGCACTTAGCTTCGAGAAAAGACACCGGAAAGTCACCCCTACAGTCGCACACTATCTGTTCTGCCGGCAAATCTATTACGAGAAAATGCGTTCACATTCCCCTCTTGCCTACATTTTTGCGTAAAAACTTCATAGAGATTGCAATAAAAAAACAAATATTAGCCTTTAATTGAAAGGGAGGCATTTCTGATATCTTAATTGATGAAAAACCATATGAGTGCATAACGTTGCCAATTTCTTTAATACAGCCAAGGTTAAGAAGTCCAGCGAGTGGTTGAGAAAATATATTAAAGAAAAACATTATGTATATGAGTGATATGTAGATGCAAAATAAATTTCAGTAACACCAAAGGCGTGTCGTTATAGTAACGGCAACAACAATAACACCAAATGCAATAACAACTACAATTACTAAAGCATTAAATAAAAGTTTTACCAATAAAATGCGGCATTTTCGCTTGATTGCCACACACACTCGCAATCACTTATTTGTGTATATACACCTTTGTGTGTTTCTGTGTGTGTGTGTGTGTTGGATGAGAGGAGCCGCGATTGGAAATTGCAACAAAATGATTTCCAAACAAGATTTCTTTTGCAAAAGTATTGAATGTGAAAAGTTTTTTTCCCCCCAAATTGCATTTCGGCAAATGAAGCCGGTGTCAGTTGGTTTACAACAGGCATGCAAACACACATACCTACGATTTAATGCATATGTACAGTAGTCTATGGCTTTTCATTTTTCTTTAACTCTTAACTTTTCTGTTCTTTGGAATCTTTGTGTTTAATTTGCAAATTTCAGAATTGTCAAGATACTTGGGTGGTGACTTTGAAAATTCAGGAAAATTTAGCTGTAATTAAGTTAATGCGGCAACTCTGTTTTTTTTGTAGGTGAGAGTGGTAAAAAGTTTAAGTTTTCAGTTACTTTGACACAAACTCGTAAAAGTAAGCGGAAAAGTTAACAAATTCTCCATGCGCTTAGCGGAAGTCGCAGAAGCTGATTGAAGAACTATTAATAGCCTTTCTAAGTGTTAGATAAGGTCCATTAAACATGCACAATATAAAAAGCTAAGAGGAGAGAAGATCTCAAGCCCTTTCTAGAGCACTCTATAAGTCTTCTTTCTATACCTTTTCTGTATATTAGCATGCCTATTCTCACTGTTACCGGTAAATTAAACTTCGTTACTTTTTTTTTGGCACTTAAAACTGAGTTCGGTATTCTAGCACACATGTTACATTGTTGGATCAACTTTGGCAGTACTGCTTTTTTTTGACCATGCCAAACTACATTTGCCAGTTGGTAAAGTAAATAAGAAGAATTTTCACATCGAAATGGAAGACGGTGCACTTCAAAATAAATAAGTTTTATTTATGTGTTTGTTAAATCATAAATATTTGACCATAATTTTGGAAAATATACCTAAACGACAAAAAGAAAAGCTCAATGAAAACGCTATCCTCCATATTAAAAGGGGAACTTTTTTTCCGCAAACTTCTTTACTTAACTTTTTGTACTTCTTTTTCTTCGTTTTTAATGAATTCCCGGCCTAAAATATGCGTACCCATTTTGGTTTTTATTTTTTCTCAAACCAACAACACAAAATACTTCCTTTTTCGTAGGTAATCAAATTTTACAGAGTGACAGTGAACTCAGAATACGAAATAGTAACAAAATTTACTGAATGGTAGTAACAAAGCAAATTTTATTACTTCGACAGAACAGACCTGTAAATGGTAAATTGATGTTTACCCGAAGTATGTAGGTAGCAGAAGGAGAAGATATAGGCCCATGAGAATATATACCGCTCCAGTCAGAATATAGAGTTGAGTTGATTTATCCACCATATCCGTCTGTTTGTACGCAAACTAGTCCCACAGTTTTTGAGGTATTTCAATCAAACTTAGTTCACAGATATGACAAATTTTTCAAATTTTTAATTTTTAGTCCTAAATTCGCCAAGAAAGCAAGTAAAATTTGATAATCTTCCCACTTTGGCACCGAAAATGATCGAAATCAGAGGACTATAACATGAATATATAGATCAAATCCCGCTATACGAAATATAAGGTTTTGTTCCAAGCTTTGTTAATTAAGCATCTAAGAGCATGTAATTTGCTATTATACATTCATATCTATCGGAAATCGAAATCGGGAAACTGAATTATGAGTATTAATATTCACTGAATCAAATGAAATACCGTAAATTTTATATGGCCATGAATTATAGTCGAATCAAGAACAACTCGGTATTTTTTGCGTACTAAGTTTTAAAAAAAAAGTTGATATTTAATTGAAAAACGGCTACGTACTTCCAAAAAAATATATTTGTGAAGCCTTTATTAAAATTTCAGATAAATCAATGCAATGGGGTCCGAATAATCTGTCTAAATAGCTCGGCGTTAGGACGCAATCCCATAATTTACCGCACATAAAACGGATCAGATTGTAAAGGCCTTATTTCCAGCACATTAAATAAGGGAAGAACAAGCAATACTGGAGAACCTTCCTATAGAAACACCTTGCTTCACTACCGAAGAGCTACAAGTAGCGGCAAGTGTGCTGAAGCCAAACAAATCACCAGACCTCGATGGCATACCCGCCGAAGTAATGAAAGTGATTGACCTAAAACAACCTAACTTACTTTCTAATATCTTTAATGCCTGCCTGAAAAGAAACCTATTCGTGGAAATCTGAAAAATATAGCAGCTGGTACTCATTAGTAAAGGGAAAGGGAACCCAGATAGCCCATCGGCATACCGCTCTCTCTGCATGCTGGACACTGCTGTACAAGTCACATTGGACGTTCGAAATGCTTTCAACAGTGCACAGTGGAAGAATATGATTCAAGCCTTAGAGGATAAATTCTTCATCCCCCGGTATCTTTGCCAATGATAAGGAGCAACCTCAACGACAAAGTACCGACGGGCAGCGAAAACATAATGTGATGGCAAGAGCAGCGCAGGGCTCTATACTCGGACCAGACCTCTAGAACATCAGCTACGATGGCATATAAGACATTGAAATGGCTGATAGTACATATTTCGTGGGATATGCTGACGACATTGCAGCTATAATCACTGCGCGCGACACGGAAGACCCAAGTAGGAAGTTAAACCAAGTAATGATAAGAACAAAAATATGGCTTGGCCAACGCGGTCTCAAACTAGCAACAGAAATAACCGAGTTGCTGCTATTAACGAGGAAACACATACCTCTGGGAATAGACATGCACACATTCGCGGATACACTGAGGTCAAGAAAAGTTGTTAACTATCTGGGTGTAAGACTAGACCCTAGATTGAGCTACTGGGCACAAATCAGATGCGCCGCAGTCAAGACCTCAAAAGTCACTTATCAGCATAGTAGACTAATAGGCTAACATAAGAGGTCCAACTCAAGAGAAAAGGAAGCTTATCATGGCTGCAATCCTTAACATCTTACTGTATGGAGCCGAGCTATGGGCGTACACACTTAAGAAGAAAAATAGGCGAATGGTACTGGCCAAAGTATACCACACGGCGGCTTTGAGGGTAGCATCGGCATACCGTACAGTATCAGGTGAAGCTATAGCTGTAGTAAGTGGAAGCGTTCCCATCGATCTATTGGCAGCCGAAAAGAAAAGAAACTGGACGCTCAAAAAAAATGAAGACTAGGAAATTCGGAGAAGTAGACTACAACATTACCCGGATGCTGTCTGGTCACGGATATTTTTGGAAATACCTGCATAAAATATGGAAAGCTGAAGACCCGTCATATATCTATAACGATGCCAACGAAGATAACGCCGAGCATACAATCATTCATGCACGCGCTGGCAAGACGCGAGAATCAGACTTGAAAACACTGTTAGAGAACAAAGCGAATCAAACTGGGTAAATGTAAACGAGTTCACAGAAAAAGTTCTACGAGCGATAAAGCGGGTACTGTGCGCAGGTGGCGAGATATAAACTCGCTGTGGGAAAAATGGAACGCCCCCCTGAAGTAATGCGAAAGTGGTTCCAGGGTGGTCGAATTTTCCCTAAAAGAGAGTTTTTTAGTGACCTGCAAGTGGCACATACTATTGATGTGGCGACACAATTGTGATGCGGAAGGCATTTATCTTCTCTTCACCCGCAAAACAAAAGAAAATAACAAATAAACTGTCCTCCCAGTTTGAACATTGTGATTTTGAAGTTTTTATTGTACTTAGGGCACGTTCTGAGGGGCTGCAGCAAAATAAAAAGTTCAGTTATTTGAAAGATTTTTTTTTTCACTTTAAAACCAACTGCATATCATTTCTAGCACCCAAAGGTACACTGTGCGCCAAAAAAAATCGTTTTCCAAAATCTTAGAGTGGCTTTGCGCCTTTATAGTCAGGACGTTAGGCTTTAAGTAGGCAAGGGCAAGTTTAAAATCTGAGTCGTGCGTGATTATATTTACAATCATCAAGCAAAGTGTCAAAGTAAAGAGCTCATGGAATTCTCGCGTTTGGAAATGAAGCAAGTGAATCACCAATACACTTAAAAGGCTATAGAAGTAAAACGAGCATTAGCTTTGGTGCAGGTGTGATAGTTTTTATTTCTAAATATATATAATTAGTTATAGATAATTACAAGCTTGTAGAAAGTTTGATAAAAGAAAAACTTGCAGTATTTTAAAATTTACTTCTGACAAATAAAATCATACTCAACATCACAACTGAGCGTATACCAAAGATTGGATTGTCCCCAGATGGCCAAACAATTTTCACTGTCCGTATTGTTGCTCGGTGCATTCAGAGCCCAGTGTTTGTAGCTGTTACTGTAAATAGAGCCATACAAGCCCCAAACCCAAGTTTTTTGGGCATTAAAACGATTGCCGCCAGTCCAATAGAATTTACTTTCCAAACCTTCAAGGAGAGCAAAAAGCATTTATAGATTAAAAATAAATATAAATTTTCCATATCAATCCGCTCCAAACCCACCATAGTAAGTAAGAAAACCTTTCAGTTCAGCCTCGACGGATGGTGTATTCAATTGAATCAATTTCATATTGCCCATGCCGCAGTAATAGTTGGCCTCATACCAAGTTAACTGAAATAACAATATTTTCATATTATTTCTATAAAAGAGTTTAATTAAATAATAAAATAAAAAATCAGTGGATGTTCATCGCCTTTACTCACCGGTTCTGGGCCTAAAAAGAATTTTTGATTGAGTGGCATAGACACACTGATATTTAGACGCCTCGCCTCAGGCTGTAAGCGTAGATGGGGATCTGGAGATAAGAATTAAATATTAAAAAAATATATATATATAAATCTGAATAAAATATGTAAATATTTTTTTATTTTATTCTTTGCTACTTACCAACAAGTGGATGACCATCCTCAACAGGCATTGCAGCGGCTGAGCTACTCGCCAAACAAGCTGCCAAGCTTAGTAAGGCTAAGGCGACAATGCTAATGGGTTTCATATTTTCAATTCAGTGTAAAGTCGTAGACTGTATTTTAAAGAAAATCTTCATTGCTTTTATAGTAAATAGTACAGCAAAAGAAATTTATAAAGAAAGCACTTGCAGCTTATCAATTCATAAGCGTTCAATTTATGTTATCAATTATTGGATTTTCGTCTTCTACGCAAACATAAAACACAACATGCTACTGAAAAATTAATTAACAGATAAAATTTTTCACATTTTAATAGCAGAGAACAAAATAATATTTTTCTAACTGGAATAGAACCTAAGATTAAGCCAATAGCGCAGTGAGTCTTGCAACGATGAGTGCAGGAAAGCTGTAGAGGAAAACAATAGAACCGAAAAATTGTTTGGTCCATAATGTTGTACCAAAGTGAATATATTACAAATAAGAATTTTGCTAGAGCTTCTTTTTTAATGCCTCATTTACTTGTTTGCCCGCAGAAACTAAGGAAAAGTTATTTCAAGTGATACTAAGATGAGCCAAACGAAATTTTTCGAAACAGAAAAAATTATTGAAAGCAATGAGAGGAGACTTCTTCTACCCTGAACCCGGCTGCGGTCATTAAAGAAACTCTTTACCTACCAAAGATAAAGATCATAAGATAAACACAGTGAACTGAAGTAAAGCCAAAAATACGGCGCAAATGTCAAAGGAAGCCACTAATTTACTACCCACACTCGAAGTGTAACCAATTGAATAAACCAAAAATTCAGTTTGGAAAATTAGCTTTAATCAATCCGAAGCACAAAATAAGCGAAAAAATACAAAACTCGAAAACAATTTACCTTTGCTCGATATGACCACCTTTTGCCTTGACTATGGTCTTGAGGTGGTCCAAAAACAATTTGCAAACTGCCCGAATGTGATTTGTAGGCATTTTGATCCACTCACTGATAGTGGCTTTCTTCATCACCTCCAAACTGGTGTAATTTTGGTTTGGAACTTATCTCCAAAAAATGACCTAAAGCAAATAATCCAACCGATTAGGGTCTGGTGGATTCGCGAACCATTGTGTGGACGTTATGAAGTTCGGAACATTATTTTTCAGTCATTCCTGGTTCACTTGAGCTTTATAAGATGGTGCCAAGTCCTATTGAAACGTGTACGGTCTGCTACCGAAATATTTATCTATCCACGGCAGAAAAATAGAACACTTTTTCGAAAATATTGCGCATTTACGTTGACGCCAGGCTCGATTAAAATTATTGAAAAACATTATCTGTGGCGGGTGCTGCCACCTGGTGGCCAATCGGTTATTCAAATTCTTGTATGTATGAACGGTCTGTCAAGTAACTCCTTCGCTTGCTCAAGTCTGACTTGTTGTTACTTGGTTGTGAGATCATGCGCCGTTTGGATCATATAAGGCTTGACCCTATGAACAGTTTTCAGTATGCAGCGGATGCTACGGTCAAATATTTCCAGTTCTGTCGCCATTTGATTGGCACTTTGTCAGGGATTTTGCTCAAGTCGCTCATCTACCATGACGTTGCTGTCTTTTTATGACCCCATTCATGTATTTTTGCGATACTACCAGTATCATTGTAATGAGTTATAGTAAGATGAAGGAGAACTTTATTCACTTTTATGTGTTTGATCTCTGGAACAATTGCTAGTTGAGATTTTCCAGCTTAATATATATAATGCAACCACATTGTTACGTCTGACATCCATTACTGATTTCTTGTTTTCGCCCTCACTCTCAGCAAAATGCTTTCGTGCTCTTATAAACAATACTCTGAACTGTTTTATTGCTAATTCATAGACACCTATGCGTCATCACTACGAGTTTCAGACCCGGCCTTACCTCCGGTCAATGGCAAAAGATGGAACCTAAAATTGATTGGACTTAAACTTAAACAGTGCACGCCCGTATATTGTCTTCATCTTCACTTGCTGTTTTGACCATCTCTTCTGTAGAAGAAACCCGGAAAAGGATATATGGGGAAAATGCAAGTCCAGAGCAAATGACACAGTCATCTTGACGGATGGCTCTAAGATCGATGAAAGTGTAGGCTATGGCTCTCAACTAATTTTAATTTAAGGCTACTACTTCGTTGCTGGAGTTGGACTAATCAATCAGTATATTCTCGGTGAGCCAAGTTCAATGTCGGTTGTCCAGACGAAGGGAAATTGCTGGAAATTGTATGGCGGATGGGTTTGAAAGAAGATACCTCACTAATTACTTCTACGCACGTCGCGGGTATACTCTTGTCTGCGGTAAAACTCAATCTAAAGCTTGGTCTTATCAGAACAACCAACAACCAACTAATATTGTTTTCACTAAGGGCAGTTGCAGTAAGAGAGCTAAGGTTGACAGAAATGAGTTAATACCGATGTTGAGTTCACATTTAAGTGGAGTTATAGGCGGCGAGTTTGGCCACCTTACAGCTGTCTTGTGTATACAATACTTGTGGTCAGGAAACCAAGCTATCTCTCACTTTTCTCTATTATCTTTCATCATCTCTTCTGGATATAATCAGGCAGCTCAGAACAATTTTTAGTAAGACAAGCTTTAAGGTAAGGAAATTTCTTTGTAAAGACGGAATTTTACGACTAATTCCTTGCCACACCTCTAACCGAACTCTTTACATGTTTGAAATACCACATGTATCCGCGGAGCCTTGCCTCGACCATCGTTATTGGCATAGTATCGAATATTTTTAATGTTGCTGTGTTTTCGCTCATCCGAACGATGTGATCAATCCAGCGTTGCTACAGGCTCTTAATCCCCTGAACGATATCAATATCGCCTAAATGCCTTAAGCATCTTACCGCAAATGATGAGTGACTAGAAGAGTCGAGAGAGAAATTGCATCACTTTTTTAGTTTGTTCCTTTCCTTTTTTTTAGCTAAGCTACGATAAAGAGTACAGTAACCTTGTCCGAAACCTCTTTTGATGTCAAACGAATCTTAGATATTACTACCAATCCTGACGAAGCTTTTGGTCTTGCCAAGCGTCACATTAAACATCCGTTGATATCCCTAAATTCAAAGATAGCTATAAAGAGAAAGCAAATTTTCGTGTTATCGGAAGCAGCAAAGAAAACAACGTTAGAGGTGGCATGTGCCAATACTTTTCTAATGGGTCTTTTCCAAATTTGACTCATAGTAAATATTAGATCAAATAAAAAGTTCGTTCGGCTCTGCAGTGTGTTTGGTGGGATTGACAAGGAATCATCTACTACGAGCTGCTCCCATATGACCAAAGGCTCAATTCGACCCTCTACAGCCAACAAATGGACCGCTTGAAGGCAGCACTCATCCAGAAAAGGCCATCTTTGATCAACAGAGGCCGAATTGTGTTCCATCAGGACAACGCTAGGCCACACACGTCTTTGGTGGCGCGCCAGAAGCTCCAGCAGCCCGGATGGGAGGTTCTAATGCACCTACCTTGTAGTCCGGACCTGGCACCAAGTGATTACCTTCTTTTCCTGTCCATGGCGAACGCGCTTAATGGTGAGAAGTTGGCCTCAATAGAGGCCTGTGAAAATTGGCTCTCCGAGTTTTTTTGCAAATAGGGACGCAGCCTTCTACGAGAGGTGTATAATGAAGTTGGCATCTCGTTGGCAACAAGTTTACGAGCAAAACGGGTGTAACGGGTATTTGACACAGAGTTATCATATTTTGAAAAATCATTAAAAAAATCAAACTAACTTTTTACCTGTCATAATATGTGGTGAATAGTGGATTTTTTTTTAGGATTTTTAAGATTTAAAACCACACTAATAATGTCCAATCAATTTTTTTACGGGGCGCATTACTCATCCACACAACACACTCGATATCAACTTATAAGTAGCAAACTCATTATGCGATCATTGTTTTTATGTTGCCATTTGTTTTCCGTTATGTTCGATTGGGGTTTCGGATTCAGCATTTTCAGTTGTTTTATATTTTTTAGCTGAAGAAGAATTCCATCCATAAATTCTGCTGTATTTGGACATCGGTCGCCAGATCACTTCTTTGGGTGGCTCCGGCATGTGAAGGTTTGTGATTTCTACCAATTAATATAGCATTTGTTGCTTGCTTTTAGACGGACTTCCGCTTTGGGCAGCTACTACACTAAACCATATACAGACTTAGGAGTGCCTGGCATGAGTCCTCTTCTTTATAAGCATAGCACTTAACACAGGGTGGTCACCATATCTTTCACAAGCAGTTGACCAATTGTTCCAGCAACCCTGAAGTACTCGGTGAGAGCGCATCCAAAAACACATTCACCCAACAACACACATACATACAACTCGGTAAGCGGTATAAACGCAACAGGGTTGCAAATGCTTATGCCAAACAGAAAAACAAAAACTCAGTCGGTCGGCCTATTAGAATAATAAACTGTTGCAATGTTTTTACAGATGTAACGGTTCACAGATTCAATGATGTTTTCATTGTTATTATTATTGTTTTTATTACACAATATTATGGCAAATTAAGGTTTGTTATTACATTAAAGGTTATACTTGGATGCAAAATAGCATAAGCTTGTTCATATATATTTGGATTAAATTGTATATAAATATATACTAACAGCATATAGTATATAAATAGGTATATTAAAGGTTAATTTGTTATTGTTACGTTGAATTTGTTAACCAATTGAAATGTTAAACAAAACACATCAAAGTTATTACTCTGTTTATGTGTAAACAAAATTCCAAATACAAATATTTTTGTTTTTTTGTGTTTCGGCGTATTTTTTTTTCTTTATTTATTTTTGGCTAGACCGCACTAAATTGCAAAATAAAAAAGAAAAGAAGAAGCATACACCACCCTTGAAACAGATAACCGTGAAAGCTTGTATAGCGTGTGTTGATAAGCGGTACGCCTCAAGGCAATCACACGGTGGCGGAGATAATAACAAATAAAGGGGATTTTATTTGAAGAAAATGTTTAGAAGCCAAACACGGAGTCAACGATATCGATTAATGCTTTCGAATTGAGCTCACTTCTGATAATTTTTTTTCTTTTACTAAAGTGCATTGAATGTAAGGTATTTGTTGGGTTTTGGTAACATAATTAAAGAACAGAGCAGGGGAACCCCCATAACTTTTTTTCATTAGAGGAATATTAAGGGAAAAGCATATTGCGTGGAGTTTACTAAAAAGTTAAACAAAATTGAAAAAACAATGGAAAATGTATATGCAGTGACATCAATTTTATGGTTTCAAAAAGGAAGGGCTGTATTTAGAAATATGTCAAACTTAACTTCCAAACTAAATATAATTTGTTTTAGCTAAAAGACAGAAATTTATGAAAACGAATCGCTTAACAATCGTACAATCGTATGGCGATTCAAGCGTGACGACATAAATCCAAAGATACCAAATGTGTTGCAGATATTGTGAGGACTGTGCATCATCCTTTTGCTCATTACACCTCTGCAAGTGTAGCCTAAGACTTAAATATCACTATTGTTCAACGTTTTTAAAGGCACTTTTTGACGTATTTTAAGTTTGGTCTTACACCTATATCCGTATAAAGTTCAGCTCTCGAAACCACCGAAGCCGAATTATCATTCACAATGCCGTACATTCATCGATTGGCTGCTTGAAAACCCAGCAGAGGACAGAGATATTTCGAACAAAATATTCTTCAGCGAAGACACACATTTCTCACGTAAATAAGCAAAATTTTCGCATTTCAAATTCTGAAAAAGTACAGATAATTAAAGAGAGACCATAGTATCTAAAGAATGTACTGTTTTGGTATTCTATTTGGATCTTACTTCAATGCAAATGACAGTGGCTAGGCTATCAATATCAATTGGGCATGTGGTCCTATGATAACCGACTTTTGTTGGCCTACAATGGAAGAGCACGACTTGGACAATATGTGGTTTTAAGAATTTGTTGCCACATGCAGTACAACACGAGCGAACATGACTAGTTGGCGAGAGAAATTTCTCCCACCGCGTAGTCTCTCGTCCTGGCGATGTCAATTATCTATCGAGATCAAGCGATTTGATACAGTTGGATATTTTTGTGGAACTACGTGGAATACCGCTTACAATCTTTTAAGTTTTGTGTACTGGAAAAACAATATTTATCCTTATATGGCTAAGTTATCACACAATTTGGAGCAAAAAGTGCTCGATAATTACTTTGAAACGGATCGAAGTTGGCAATATTTCGCGTGGAGGTCATTTGAAAGATGTAGTGTTTCACAAGGTTCAAATGGATAACCCTTTACATCTCTTCGTTGGGGTTAGTAATTATTTGTGGACTCTTTTTTATTTTATTTCATTTTTTACTATTTTATTTTGTATATGTATTCATATATTTGTCACTTGTTGAAGTTTAGTTCTCTTTATTTATAATTGAAAATAAGTTTTTTTTCGATATTTTTAAACAGAAAAAGAATTGCAAGAAAAGCTTCTGATTTATGTTCAACGTTTTTTCAATATTTTTTTAATAAAAAAAAAAATTTTAAGGCTCATAAAAAATAAATACAGATCTCTCCTAAGTTTCACAATTTTTTAATATGTTAAGTTTTTTAAGAAAACTCATAAAACTATTTTTACTTATTTTTCATAAAACTTTCAATTTCGCCTTTAGTTCACTCTAAAAAAAATTCATACCACAAACAAGCGATTGCCGCCCTCGGTATAATAAAAGAATGAGTACAAATCTACATGCATTTGTACATACATTTGTATGTAAATATAAAATTAATTTAATAAAAATTAGTTTCCTCTAAACATTTCGATATTTTTATTAGCCATTTTCTTAAAGTAATTTTTGTTGTTGGATGTATATAAACATATTTCCTGGAATGTGAATATTTTTGTATACTTAACATTAATATCTTTTACTTTAATTAACTGACTCACCACTGAATACTCGCCATTATTTGAATTATAGTTGAGAAGACTTTACGTATGCTAAAATAGAAGAAAAATAAAAAACGATTTAAATAAAAAAAATTAATTATATTAATAAAATAAAACCTTTTAAATATATATATATGTACTCTTAATAAAAAGAAATAATGTTCAGATTTTCAAAAGGGAATTCGTTTGAATGATACTGAAATTCTTTTGAAAAGAGTAGCTTTACCTTCAAAATAATGGTAGATTGGCGCACAATATTTCGTCAAATTCATAAAATTGCGACGTTTTTAAACCTTGAATAACTAGAGATAGAGATCTAAGCTAACTTTCAGCGAAAGAGGATTTAGGCTGACTCAAATATTTTCTCAATTTAGCATTTTTAGCAAACATTTTTCACCGGCTATGGAAACCACCGAAAAGTTCGCTAAAAATATAAGAAAAACTAAATTAAAACTATTATAAATGTTGCCTCTACGTCGCTATGTCTGAATTTGATAGCTCCGCAAAACTTATACGGATGTATAAAGTGACCATAACCAACACTAAAAGCTACGTCAGAATCTGGAAGGACTTCTCCGAGCTGTTCCATACCAAACGAGGTTTCAAATAGAGTCACTCTTTATAGTGTGAGTTCTTCAATTTGATGCTGGAGAAAAAAATAAGAGCTGCAGAGCTGAATAGAGAAGGTACAATCTTCTATAAGATTGCACAGCTGCTGGCGTAGACCGATGATATTGACATTATTGGTCTCACCAACCGCGCCGTTAGTTCTGCTTTCTCCAGAAGCGATAAAAAAGCGAAGTGAATGGTACTGGTAGTGAATGAGGGCAAGACGAAATATCTTCCGTCGTCAAACAAACAGTCGTCGCATTCGCGACCCGGCTCCCACGTCACTGTTGACAGTCATAACATTTAAGTCGTAGATAATTTCGTTTATCTACGGACCAGCATTAACACCAACAACAATGTCGCAACGCAGAGTCACGCTTGCCAACACTGCCGGACACTGCAGTTACCTAGCTTGTGGAGATGAAAACTAAGGAGTGGATGCTTATCAAAACGCTCACAATAGAATTAAACTCTCGTTTGCTTAAAGTTAATAACAGTTTTGTCTGTCTGCAATCCACACTGGCCCACAATAATTTGATGGTACGGCGAAAGTATTCCAGCACTGTAAGTATTCCTCCATACTCTATTGGTGAAAAAAACATTTGTAGGCAATGAAATGTCTGAGGCGGGCGATGGTTACAAAATCGGCCAAAGAGCAAGCGCCAGTCATCTCATCCACTTTTTGATCGCCTTCTACAACCCTGTGTTGCAGAACCCAAGCGATATTCAGCGTGTTTTCCCACGATGGACTGTTGTCTATTGTCTGTGCAAATTCTTTAAAACCGATATGGATGTTTGGAATCCAGTTATGGGGTACGGCTTGCTCGACGAATATAAATGTAATTCAAAGGTTCCAATCGAAAACGTTAAAAGTAAAAGCGGGCTCACCATGAAACGCAATGTAATGAAAATATCCGTAGAGATCTAAATTTGCCTACCATCGAAGGAGATACTGAAATTGCAGCAAAATAAATATTAATATTCAGAAAAAAAACATTGAACTTAAGTGATTCAATTGCTGTTTGCCTGTCTATCAGAAAATCGGATAGGTATTTTCGTTAAAATGGTTGTCCACTTGGCACTTTCAGTAATGTCCACAGTCTTTGCTTGAAACCGGAGTTCTAGTCTATGAGTTTGAAACTACATTTCTTATTGGCGCAGTCACAGAAAAAACCTGCTCCAGTGCCTGCCTCGCTTGTGACACATCAGTATAGTTATTATATCTTGACTGTTTTCAATGGGTCTAACTTCCATCCATTCTCCTGCTAGGGAGGCAGTGGGTGGCATTTACCCGGTAGAAGGTTTCCGAATCTCCAAGTACTGATATAATTTTCTAAATGCCATTGAGAGCCTTTACCCGATTTTTCAAACCATTGAGGCTGCCAGCTATTAACGCTACAAAATATAATTCCAAAATATTTTTCAAATATTATTTTTCCTTCATTTACTTTTAATTACTTGTGTAAAATATATTCTCCCGCAGTTTTTGTTTATGCAAGCGCTGCGTTATCAAAAGTTCATTAGTTGAGTCCAGTTGCATCATTGCGTGGTTGTTTGGGGTTGCAGTTTAATGCAAATTATGGACCAAAAATAGTATCAAACGACAAAGAGGAAGAATTTGAAGAGAGATGGAAAATAAAAACTATAAAGTTAGCGAAATCTTCTACAGCACAAAATAGCACAGGAAGTGTTCAAAACAAGAACAAAGTCCAGCTTGTGAGTGGATGTAAGTACCAAAGGAGTTACATACTCGTACAACAAATTTATATGTTTCTATTTAGTTGAGTTTATACAACGCATACAACTAAGCCCTCTATTCAGTGGCACAGAATTAGTATTTAAAGTCACGTTCCGTAAATGTATGCAACCGAGTTCCTCCTGCGCTTCCTGACTGACTTTTGGCTTCAGCTTCTGTTACGTACTTGCAGCTGAGCAGCTGCAGATTCTAAGTTGGATGCGCAGGTGTAAGGTAAATACGTAAATTCTACATTTACTAACCCATATAATACATATGAATATACGCGTATATTTGTGAGTTGGTTGTGATGCCTTTGCACTCACGTCCCATGGCGCTGGCTTACTTACACAAATTCACAAATAAGTGCATAGAAAAAGCGCTTGTAATCCTTCTTTGCATGCAAAGTAAGTTTGTTTTATGTGAATTTGCAAGCTTTGTATGTGTTTTAAATATACACATACAGCAGATGAAGAACAAATTTAATAGTAATTCACATTGGATAACGATTTGGTTCTCATTTTGAGTTGCATCTTTTAAATGCTTAAAAATTATGTAAATATTTCGCAAATTTACTGTAACTTTTTATTTGAACTTTGTGACAATTTTGTTTCATGAGCGAAGATTTGTTTAAAAATTAAATAAAAATAGTCTAGTAAAAAGTAATCCATTAAGCCAAGTTTTGCCCGATTTGATTGTACTGTCATTATACCGCTCTCAAAGAAACTTTTGTCTCTATTGGCAACAAAAAAATTTGGGACTATCGAATTCTGAGTCAAATTTTTCACCAGCCAATTCATTTGCCATAAATAAAAACAGTTGATGATCACTTGGTGCGGGGTCTGATCTATAAGATGAATGCATGGAAACATCCCAACTAAGCGTTCGGAGCTTCTAGTGAGGCACTAACGATGGGTTTGTAATGTCGTTGTCCTGATGAAACCCAACTTCCCTTCTGTTGGTCCCAGCTGGGCGCTTCTGGCCGATTATTTCCTTCATAAAAATTGACAGCACAGGTATGATGTAAGAGTTTGGCTGTAGGGAAGCAGCATACATTTGAAAAAGATAATCTTCAAACAATAAATGCCAAAGAATGTTCTTACGAATGATAATAAACATTCCCCATTAAATATGAATTTTCTTCACCATTTTCTTTAAAAAATTAAAGAGCCTCGATGTGTATAAGTGAACCACTCTACATCACCAGTCACCATGCTCTACAGAGATGGGTTGATTTTATTATTTGGTCTATGAGTTTTTCTCATTAACTCACCTGACAAAAATTAAATAAATTCTCTCTCTCTCTCTGACCTCTATAACTGAATGCTTCTTTTATCGTTACCTATACAAGTTTTGTACTTTTATTCTTTTTAGCTCGAACAAATCATGTTCAACTGGCTTAAGTAATTTGCCATGATAACTACTTTTGATAGATTCCAGATCATATTTGCATCGAAGGGAATGAGAGAACTGGCTAAAGAGAACAAGGTATTATTATAGACCTTTTGGAATAATTTAAAAGATTGACGTATGCCCAAGAAGCGATCTTTTTTTTTGAGGTGCACTGACTTTGAGAATGGGTTGTCGAAACGCGAAAGTTATCCACAAGTGCGAAAGAACGAAGAAAATTTTACTTGCGAGGCCACTAAAAGGACTATTACTGCAGATTGCCTTTTGTCCTCGCATGCATTCAATTTAAGTCTGGTTGAAGACAAACAGTGTAGAAAATGAAATAAATGTGCAAAGACATTGAAACACGTAATGTGTAAGTATCCGACATTCGGCAGGGATAGGCTAAGCTTATATTTAATTGGCACCACCGAAAAGATTTTCGGCCGGCCGCCTCCACCAATTTTTGGAAAGCATTTCAATAATTTTCCAACTAATAAAAGGAGTGATATAATGCTTTAAGAACAGCCCACATCGTACGTGTGTTGGGCTTTTTATGAGAAGCTTTTTATATCATATCAGAAATAAGCTCGGTGGGGTTAACGTCTCCTGTCAAAAGGACGAACACAATTAAAAAAATTTATTTTTCAACTTTGTTGTGTACACTGTCGTGAATTTTAGTCTCGACTGCATACGAACCCACGATCTGCTGCACTCCGCTAACGCACCTAGCTAAGCTTGCTTGGCGTAGAAAAGCGGTTGAGTTTTTCAATCAATCGATAAAGGGTATCAACTAGTACTTCGATACTGCGAGGAGGACGGAAATATATATTTTTTTTTATTATTAGAGAGACAACCAAGAATGTTGCAGTACAGTTGTGGTCATATATTGTATATAAAGGGTGATTTTTTAGCTATTATCCTTTTGGCAACACTGGTTTAAACAGCTGACGCACGTTTCGTGTTTAGTATCTTTGTCAAACATCTTCAGTTTGGTCTATAATTTAAGAAAGAAAGTTCACCGCGGGCTTCTTCCGCGCGCGCTCCAAAGTTCATTTTTGCCTTGATGGGTGCGTAAGAGTTTGGTTTGCTATACATGTGGTTTCAACAAGACGGTGCCACATCCCACACAGCAGGTGTAACATTTGACTTATTGCGAGGCGAGTTCGGTTTAGATTATTTTTTGTTGAGCTATGTTAAATCAGATATCTATGCAGACAAGCTCGCTTCAATTGAAGCATTGGAGGACAACATTCAGGCATTTATTCGTGAGGGACCGGTTGGTTGCTGGAAAGAGTATGCCAAAATTGGACTAAGCGGATGGACCACTTGAGGCGCAGTCACGGTCAACATTTGCAAGAAATAATTTTCCAACAATAAATAATGTGGATCGTACTATCGACTTGGATAAAGACTTCATGCATTTTTCTGAATTTTCCGTGTTTTTTTAAAGACTTTCCTATAGCTTTTAAAAAACACCCTTTATTATAACACTACGACCTATGTGAAACTCGTTCGAGTAAATCGGTTTAGCCTGACTTAACCGAGCTCAGATATCCTGCATAAAAGGCAGAAAACCAGACACTCTAGACCTAAATTTTATTCTACTGAGCATATTTATTTCTTTCAATGTTCAACAGAATAGATCACAGGCCCAGCCGAGCTTTTAAAATAATCCAATGCATGCAAAGCGGTAGAGAAGTGTGTATTGAATGCTTAATGCACGTCCTTTTGTCAGTGGGAAGTACGACAATCTGTATATTACAAATAAATATCAGTAATTTTTGAAAGCAATATTTGCTTTAGATTTAGTAGTGAGATCGCAATTTAAGTTTTTTGAGAAAATTATTTGATTTGTCTTACCAGTTATAATTTCGTCGTTAATTTTCAAACTGAACCTTTTAATGAAATTTCGAAATTTGAAATGCGATGAAAAATGTAGAAAATGCTGGCACAGAATTTTAAGGAATAAATGAGAATTACAAAATATTAATATTTAAAAGATCAAAATTATTTTCTGTTCAAAATTCACTTTTTTTTAATTAAAATTCCTCTTTTCGCACTTCGAGTAAAAAAATTGTTCTATTTTGAATAATCAAGGGTATTCTAAATTATAACAAAAACAAAGAAAGGAGACAAAAATATATTTAATATTCTTCCAAACAGAGTTTATAATATAAAAAAAATTATTTGAAAAACTTTGTAAAAAATTATGAGCTAAATTATGTTAATAATCAAAGTCAATTCTTGCTTGCAGCAACATATTTAATTGTTGTTATGTGTTTACAATTAACTTAATCGGCTTTATATTGCATTACAATGGATGGAGAGCAATTTGTGCATATAAATAAATATGTATGTAAGTAAATGAGCATATATTGGTAAATGCAAATAAATAATATTAATTGGGCAGCGAGTAGAAATAGGATATGCTTAGCATAAGTAGACTTAAATGCTCACTAATTAGAAATTTGAGGTCTCAGAACAATAATTAAATACAATATACACATACATATGCTACCAAGGTGGAAATTTAGAGAAAAATTTAAAGGTAATATAAGTATGAGCCTATATCAAACACTAAACATTAATGTCTATAATGAGCTTTTAACTAAAAAAAAATTTTAATGATTTTTTTTGTATTAAAGTAGCATTAACTGCAAATTTTGCTTTATGTAAACAATTTTTTTCTTGTAGCTTCTAAGTTTTCTATTTTTAAGTAAATAATTATACTTTTTTGACGTAATTAACATTTTGAAAACGAGTCTGATTAATCAAGACTTCGACTTTACGTGCTCGCTTTTTGAATAACTTACAATTTTTTTGTTCTGTTATGACAAATTTCGCTTTTACGATTGCTCGTTAAAGTTAAGGGAAACAATTTCTCTCCCCATATATACATAGAACTCTCGCACCTCAATCACCTGCCTACCTTCAGGCGCTGTTACGAGACTCTTGACTGTTACAATGGAATGCTACTGAGTAAACGACATATTTGTGCTGAGGATATTGATAGTTGGAGTCGCAGATCTCTTTCTGGTAAAATCGAGCAGCTCAGTTAACTAACTCTTTGTTACCAACAACAAATTAACAAATACCTCGCCAGCTTTATTCATTAAAATATGAATATATTTTGCAAGTAAAAAAATTTGCCGACCTTTAAAAAATTCTTGTTTTTTTTTTTAGTAAGAAATACAGAGTATTAAAAAAATAAGCGAAAAGACTGATGCTATCAATTTTTAACAAATGCTTCCTTCCGTTTGCAAACTAAATAAACACGAAATGTGCATAACTGAAAATGCACACTGCTCCGTACTGCTTTTAGCCACCACAAATTTTCCATAAAAGATTATATTTTCTCTTCATGAAAATAATTTAATGAAACTTTCAATCTTCTTTAAGCTTAACTTTATTTAATTTAATTTTTTTTTTCCTATGCTTTATATTATCTAATTTTATAAAATTTATTATTATTAATTTTATTTCAATTTATTTTGTTTTATTTAATTTTTTTACTTTATTTTATTTGATTTTGTTTTATTAATTTATTAATTTAATTTTAGTATATTTTATTTTATTTGTTTAACTATATTTTTTCCTATTTTATTTATTTTAATTAGTATTAATTTATTTTATTTTGTCTTATATCATTTTATTTTACTTTATCTTATTTTATTTTATTCCACTTAATTTAGTTAAACTTAATTAAATTTTATTTTATTTTATTTTATTTTATTTTATTTTATTTTATTTTATTTTATTTTATTTTATTTTATTTATTTTATTTTATTTTATTTTGTGTTAATTTATTTTCTTTGCTTTATTTTTTTCTTTTTAGTTTATTTATTTGTTTTTTTTTTATTCAATTCAGTATGATGAAATATTTATATTCCAGCTAAATATTTCGCCCGGGCGATAATAACAGAATGTTCAGAATACAGGCGATAAAATAATTCGGGGAAGGCTTCAAGCACTCTTCCTAAACGTTATCAAACAACCTAACAAATACTCTGGATTCTTTTTTCGTTTATGCCCCTTCATTGTTTTTTTTTGGACTACAATTTTTTCCACTTAAAATAACTAAAATATTTTCTTCTTGCTATTTCTTCTTTTGTTTTCATACCTACTCAATCAACAAAATTTTTTTCTGATATTTGTAATACGCTTTTTCGTCATTTTTCTCTTTGTAAATGTAAAATTCATTGAGTTCTTAAAAATAGAGCTCTTCAATTTGTCGTTTCTTTTGCATAAATCTTTGCTGTTTTCTTCGTTTTTTCGTAAGTCTTTTCGCCGCTTCACTGTGATTTCTGTCAGCTCCGCGTGCATCGTTTAACATGTGGTGACGGCAAACAAATGACATCGCAAATAAATTTGTCATTTGTTTATGTCAAAGTATGTCTTGTATGTGTTTTTAAGTTTTTGTGGCATAAAGTAATTTGCAAGCGATCGCTTGCATGTACCCGAAATAGAAGCAAATGGAATAAAATAAATGTGGGAAGACAGTTTTTGTCGGTAAAAAACAAATGCGTTTGAATTAAAAAAATAAATCCGGAAACTGACCTAACTTAAGGAATAACAAATTTTTAGAGAAAAATCTGGTAGAGAGAGTGCTATAACAAACTTGAGTCCGAGGCCAATACACACACGTGTTGTTTGAGGTGCTAACTCTGGTAACGTTTTTACGGTCACGGATTATAAAAAGTTATCTATGCAACTGAGTGGGATGAAATTTGAATATGTTACTTAACACATCAATAGCTTCCACCAGAATTTTTTTTATACTTTTCCAAAGCTTGCCGTCACTAGAGACTTCAACTTAATCCATCAAAGTGTGGGGCAACCGCAGAGAAAGTGACTTAAGGTTTCAGGTTCTGCAACTTCTGCAGAAATCATTGGATGGTACGCCCAAACTCTCTGCGCGCCAGTCCGATAGAATATACCCTGCAAGAAGACCTATAACTGCCCATATTTTCTTTCTTTTTAGCTCGATAAGGTCACGCGACCTAGTTCTGTCATATTCTGGTTATATTGTCCCGGTCACATTACATGCCTTAAGACTTTTTGTCTTGAGTTAGCATCCTTAGCAAATAACTCTCTTATATTCAGCTTACAACTGAGCAGGGGCTTGTCCAAACTCTTGCATGATGGCGAACGTGGTAATAAAGTGTCCTTCCTTGCAAGCTCGTCCGCCATCTCATTACCAGATATGTTACTGTGTCCAGTTACCCATACAACGTTCAGAGAGAACTGCGTTCAGAGATCTGCAGTTCGCTGCTGTTTTAGTTTTCCTATTATCGGCGGCGACAAGTTACAAGAATCTCTCGACAACTTCGAAAGTGTAGCAACATGGGCTCCCAGTAGTTGCGCATTCCTTTTCGAAGACTTCATCCATCTCTTCCGCCTCCTTTTCAGCTGAAAATAAAGTTCGGAAGTAACATCTCGTTACTCATCTTCGGCAAAAATGTGGAGTTAGATACTTAAGCGAAAACTAGCGAGACAACGGTGAAGAGTATAAACGATAGGGAATCGCCTGACCCTCAAGGTTCGAGCGTTATTGTCGAATACCTGTGACAAAAACTACTAAAGGCCATGCTTTCATGAAAACTGATGTAAGAGCACGAAAATAATATGAAAAATTTAGTTTTTTCAACGGGCCTGAAATTTTTGTTGGGATATCGAAAGACTGTTCATCTAAATTGAATTCCCCTTCTTTAACTAATAACATCGATTTAACGCTAACAGATTCCTAATCAGAATTAAATTTATAGAAGGGTTGTCTTTTCCAAACAACCAAACTTTCGAAAAATTTTCAATGACCAAATAAAAAAAATTTAATTTTTAACAATGCATGTAAAAATCTATTTCCAAAAAGTTTTATTATAACTTTTTGGATTTTCTTTCGCAGTTTTCCAAGGAAGTCTGCATCTTTCTACAGAACCAATAGTTGCTCGTTAGTAACTCATGTTGAGACCCCGTTAAAGATCGTCAACGTGAAATTTTTTATTCAACATGATGATCAAGCGATTTTTGCTTAAGCAAATTTTCCGAAGCGAAAACAACAACAACGACGGCAAATTTAATTTGATTATTAAGATCATTGATAGCAAAAGTAACTTTCATCTTCCTCTATTTACTGAAGCCTACAGATTTGTTTTTATTTTTTTTTTGTGTACAGTTAAGAGTTCAAAAGAAGACTCAAAACTTATGCTTTCTATCCACTGCAAAGCACAAGTCTCTTGCTTTAACTCAAGACTTTATGAAATCATGCAGTACGCAATTTTAATTTACACATGAAAAAAAGTGAAAGAAAAAACCTTCCGATACAAAATACCTACGAGTTGAAAGCGAAAATTACTTCGCGCCGCTGCAAAATACGAATGACACACAAAGAATGCCAAACAAATGGAACTGTATAAAGCTGAGTGTGGCATGTGGCAAGTTGCCTATGATGTGTTGCATCTTGAGTGTGTTGCGTTGACAATGACAGCTTCACTTTTTTTTGGACTTTTCCTGTCATTTTCTGGCTTTTCTACGCTTACACAGTGTCAGCAGTGTTAAAACGCACTCGTCGCAATCGCTGTCGAGGTTGGATAATAAACACATGTTGCGCTGCTTTGCTGAGTATTGTTTTTTTTAAGACTTTTTCAGATTTGTTAAAAAAAAACAATTTAGCATTTTTTTCCACTTTCTGCGCGTCTCTGATTTCATGTCACTTGGCAGCTGCTTTTTTATGCATACCAAATTCACTCTTTGTTGCTGCGTGACGATTTGTTGGCATTCTTAATGTATTTGCCGTCTGTATACCCTTTATACATATGTGCGTGTGTATGTTATATGTGTTTGTATGTCGCCTCATGCTTTGCTGCATAACTTTTGCGTGCTAATTATCGTTGCAAATGAGGCATGCAACAAAAGGCGTCGCCGTGTGGTGTCAATAA